ACCCACCTGGAGGGCAGGCAGCAGCCGGCAGCAGCTCTCCCAGATGGCTCTGTGGTCCTGGGCGCTGTTCTCCTCGCTCCAGTTCCCCAGCTGGTTCACGCCTCCCAGCACGGTCACCTCGCTCCTGCAGCAGGGACATGGGGACACGGGGACCCTCGCGACGCGGCTTCGCGTTGCTGCTCGGCCCCGGGGAACGCGACAACCCCGGGAGCCCCTGGGCTGGCTAAAGCCACAGGGCAGATTTCCCTGCGGCTGGGAGCCCAAGTCCCTTGGGATACTCCCCTCCGGAGCCGGGGGGATCCCAACTTGCTAATTGCATAATGGCCGATTGCCTCATCCCGAAATGTTGGTGCCGTAGGAAGCGCCAGAAACGCAGCACTTAAAACCCCTCCTGGTTGCCAAAGCAGAGCAGATCTTACCCCGGAATGATGTACGGCGAGTTGTAGATTCCCGTCTCGGGATGGTGAGTTATGATGAAATGCTTCACCCACGGAGCCCGGACCTGGGGGACGGGGGAGGCAGAGTCACAAAGCACCAGGCGAGGTTTTCTACATCTTGTTATCAATATCGTTAAGTCTCTGGCCTCCCTTCCAAGAGGGAAAACAGCCGAAGTCTGGGGATCACGGCGGCTCCTGAGCGGAGCCGGGGCGCGAGGCCGGTTTGCCGCCCCGAGGCCGGCGGGCAGTGGATTTTACACAACTGCTTTTTGCTGGGGATCGGGCCCGAAACACGAGGCGGTCCCGGCCGCAGGCGCCGTTCGGAGCTCCCGGCGGCTCCGGCCGCATCCCAACTTGATGACCTGCCCGCGGCCGGGCTGCAGCGCCGGGTCGGGCTGCAGGGCCCCCGCGCGCACCCCGCTGCAGTTGATCACCACGTCGGCGCCCTGGGCAAACACCTGCGGAGAGACGGACACGGAGCGAGCGCCGGCGGCCGCGGCGCCTCCCCGGGACGCTGCGGAAACCCGCTCACCTCCTGGAAAGAGTCGATCTTCTTATGGAAGAACTGCACTCCTCTCTGCATTAACCTGGAGGGACAAGGTCACTGGTAAAAGGAAAGCAGGTAAAAGCCACCGCATCGCCCAAATTAACCCCTGGTGTCGCTACCCGAGCTCTGCTCCCAGTTCCCCTCCTTCCATGCTCAACACAACCCCGTCACCCACCAGCTTCACCTGGAGGGAGCCTGATGGGGAGGATGAAAACTCATGCCTGTCCCCCATATTTCTGGGGCAGAAAAATCGGGTAGGAGGAGGCGGTGGTTCTTCCTCACCTCTTGGTGAGCCAAGCCCGGGGACGGCGCTGCAAGTACCTGTAGCCAGGGAAGAGCTCCAGCTCTTGCGGGGTCAGCTTCCTGAAGCCCAGGACTATGTCCTTCCAAGAGGGGTCCTGCAAAACGGCAAAAAGGTTGGATCTCGTTAACAGAATTTAACCACTGCAGTGAAGACACAGGAACACGAGAAAATAGTGATGGGAGAGCAATGCACAGGCGTCTTTGCTGCATGGGCATCTGCTGCATGGGCATCTTTGCTGCACGGGCGTCTTTGCTGCCTCATCCAAGCAGACGAGGGCCAGAGCTCCCGCTGCACCAAGCCACAGGCCTTCTGCAGGCTGCAGCAGCCCGCGGAGGGCTCAGCCCTCCCTTTTCACACACATTTCATTGAGAAAACCGGGAAACAGGGAGCTCCAGGTGATTTGTTCTCCAGACAAGCTGTTGGGATTAGCCGGAGGTTTCGCACGCGATACGAGCTGGAGCCCTGCTCATCCCCGTCGCCGGTCTGCTCCTTACCGGGACGGGCTCTTTGAACAGGTTGTAGCCAGAAACCAGGAACAGCCCCATTTCCTCGGCCTCCGGCGAGCCCACGCG